CAACTTTACCAGAAGCAGAGGAAGACAGACCAAGCCAGGCCAAGCAGTCTGTGGTCAGAGAGGTAAACTAAGGCTTGCTAATGCTGAGGAAAGAGCTGGAATCTCTTCTATCTACTGAACTTGGTGCTGTCTACTTGGCAGAGGAGGGATCTGGCAGTGTGGGTCTGAGGAAATGGAGATCTGTGCAGTGCCTGAAGGGTCCCAATTCACCTGCATTTTGAAGCCTGTCTCTTGGGCAATGATACAAGGTTACAATGTTTCAAGAGGTTGGGCAGTAATCCAAGGAAGCAGCAGGCAGAAGGAATGGGAAATGGATAATGAGGTAAGAGTGGAAAGAGGATAAAGCAGCAAATCGAGACAGACAGGGTTATCAAAAGCTAGAAGCTGCTTTTTTGGAAGCAGTTATAATTTAGGAAGATCAAATAATCTCAAATTTGAATCATGAAACATCCTTAATTCTTCTTTGTCATTTTGGATTCTTATTTCTGTGTTCTTAAACTAAAGAATTTACAGTTCTGCAACCTTCCTGCCAGTTCAGAGGCTAAACAGTGTCTGAGTTTGAATGCACACCTTCTCTCAGGCATGGGTTTTAGTACACATGCTCAAGAGATTCTTTTGTGTAGAGGGCAGAGGCAATCACCTTGAAGGACAGGAGGAAGAGCTGTTACCAAGACAACAGTCAGATAAAGGGGCCTGAGCCCAGGGCAATGTGAGTAAACATCTCAGATAAACCCCTCCTTAGTTCCCACAAAGATAAACAGAGGGAGTAGGAAGCACATTCAGACTTAAAGGTTCTGTTACTATAGCTTTACAATAAAAATAGTACTGACCTACATGGCATTGGTTTCCTAGTCTGGTCTACCTTGAAGGGCTGACATTTTGCCTTATTCCTACTACTCTGCATAAGACATTCTATATAGTTTCAGAATACTTCCCAGAATTTTTATTTTTTCTTTATTAACTTCTAGTAAACTGGAATCTAATTAGGAAATAAAGATCCTGCTCAAGCCCACTAATTACAGTGGACTACCACCTTCTTGTGGTCTGCTGAGAACATTGTACAAGTGTGTGTGTGTGTGTGTGTGTGTGTAGAATAGAATTGATAGATACTTTAATTTTCTTTAAGTTAAGAGATTTTATCTCTTGTGAGTTTGTCTTGTTTTCAGAAAGGGGTGGAGAGGAATGGTTAAAAACTCTAAGCACATACCTCTATGATACAGAGCCAGATAGTTGCTATAGATTTTTTCATTTTTTTTTTCATTTTTACTCTTTTATTTGCCAGAATGGCAGTACAGATTGTGGGAACCCCATCTTTCTTACATGTGAGGTTTAGGAGGAGGACAGCAGGTGAGGTGCTCCTTGGGTGATAGGTAGTGAGAACAGGAAATATAAAGTCATTACCCCAAAGCAAGGAGACGGGGCCAGGATGTGTAGGGTCAGAGGGCTTCTGCAAGAGAGATCTCTAGATTTTCACCCTGCAGGGTCAGCCATGCCGCTGTAGTAGGCCAACCTGGTGAAAAGAACTGATCCAATGAAGTGTTTCCTGTCAGCATGGAAGTAATACTGCCACCAAAACAGCTTGTCAAATGGGACAACAGGATAGAAAAAATCAATTCAAATTTTGAAGATACTGTCACTTCAATTGCTATATTCACATAGCAGATTGTCTAAAAATTGTAAGCTGCCTGTGAATTTTGTTAAGCTAATAAATGCTCATATTAGGCTTATCTCATGGCACGTCTATGCTATCACAGTTTCTGTTCCACAATTCCTCAAAAGGAATTTGACAGTGGCCCACAATTACAGTATCTTCACTGCCGTCAGCCTTGCAGCACAAGAAAGAAAAATACCTGAGGTAACACAGGTCTTGTAGTAACAAAAATCCTCTCTCCAATGTTTTACACAAAAAGGAAGGGGGGAAAAATAAAAACCCAAGCAATCTGATCTTTGTCCCCTGCTGAATATTAGAAGAAATTTTGCAAGAATTTGTCACTTTTAATTCTGCTTATTCAATTGGGTCTTAAGGACTTTAAAGGACATTCTAGGGCAGCTGAAATTCAGGAACCAGGAGAAAGGGTGAGGCAAGCATTGCTTCCAATGGGGAAATACCTGCCTAACCTCTGCAGAGTTCCAGGGTTACCAGCTAAATCTGACTTCAAAGCAATTATTTCTGTACTACAGCTGAGTTGGAAGTAAATCAACTCAATTACCAAAGAAAGACAACAATTGGGGATCACAGGGAGCAAAGCAAATCAAAAAATCAAAAGAAAAAAAAAGCAAATTAAAAAAAAAAAGCAAAGCAGATTCGGGAGTGGTACAAATGCTTTGGGTGAAAATGCCCTCAGTGGAACGTAAGCAAACACACAATGCCAGTTCATGCCATTCTAGCACAGCCTCATCTGTAAATCTCTCCTTTCAAAGGAATTTTTCCAATTTGGTACTGCTTTATTGATTAGGTTACATCAGTGTTTCTCAGCCTTAGCAACTTTAAGATATGTGGACTTCAACTCCCAGAATTCCCTAGCTAGCGCTGCTAGCTGGGGAATTCTGGGAGTTGAAGTCCACTTATCCACATATCTTAAAGTTGCTAAGGTTGAGAAACACTGGATTACATTGTTATTTCTGTGAGGTTTTGTGTCTGTTCATTGTTTTCTATCCCTCCCCACTGCACACTTGCCTGTTTTTTTTCCTCAGAGAAAGCCATTCTTCTATGCCTCTATGCTTTAGTTTCCAAAACACATTATCTTTTACAGTTCTGCAAAATATATGGATTGTGCAGTCTTAATTTTAGACTTATGTTACATAGGGGACAGGAAAGTGAATGATTATTTAGAATGAAGGTTCCAGCTGAGTGGCTCCAGAAAACTTGAACCCACTCTGGTTCAGAAAGAGTCTGTAGTGAAACCATCACAGTTTAATAGAAATCACAGCTGGAGAGAAGTCTTCTTGCCAAACAGAATGAGCTTCTTCATTTTTTTTCCTTGCAAAAAATTGTTTTATTTTAGCTTCACTGTGGTAATTAAGGGGCAACTTACTCTAATTCCATTACCAAAAAGGTCATTGAACCAGCTAGAGTCTCCTTGCAGCTCCCACTGGGAGCACATGAAAGAGACAATATATTAAGCATATTTTAGAAATTGGGAAGAATAGAATAGGAAAAAGGAAAAAATATGGAAGAGGAGAAACCCAGTCCCTTTTACAGGAACATTAGCATAGCAATTTAAGAAGTACCAACCTAGTGCCAACTGATGTTACAATCAGCTTGGTATCTTATGTCATAATGAGCAGATTTGAGATGTGTGATCTCCTTCTATTTTCCAGTAGACTCCTGAGATTCACTATCAGGAAGCAAGTGCAAATTAATCATTCTGGGCATAGATAATTAAAATTGTAGCATTCAGCCTAAGAATATATTTTCAGTTCCAGAACTGAATTCACTATCTTTTCATCCAAAAACTTACTGCTAGTTTCTTCCCAGCCTTCTTCATTTTAGTAACTTTATTATTTTATTGGTGACAGAAAAAGCTTATTTGTTACACCAGTGGATCCAAATCTACTTTCTACCCATTCATCATATATAATAATAGTAAATGTTATTTGAGCTCCAATCCCTATGAAGCCAAATTAGCACTATTAGCACCAAATTCACAGTTTTGGATTAATATCAAAGGTTGGAAAGTTATTGTTTAATTTGTCATATTTTTACTACCAGGATTAGGGAGAAATGAAGATTCTGCTTCATATATCAAAATAAATTGGCTGGCAAAATGCTTTTAGGTTGCCTTAGTTGGTAGGAAAGAAACCATGTTGATGGACTGTCAGGTCTTTTAGTGTAGCAACACAGCTCACCCAAACAGTATAATCAAGTAATCCCTTAAAATTCCCATACCTACACATAGGCATACAATGACAAGTGTACACATATGTTACCATACGTTTTGAGGAGGGCATTGAAATCTGATTATTCCAATTTACCTAGAAGAGATTACAAGTAAACGTTGAAGTTTATTATAGAAAGGGGAAGTCACAAGCCATACAGTTTTGGGTGACTGACAGTTCTTCACAAGGAACAGCATGAATGTTGGCTGAATAAGTTTTTTTTTTTTTAGAAGTAGCCTCTAACTTAAGTATATGATTTTGGCAAGTGATGATTAAATTGCATGTTAAAATGGTCTGAGATTGCCACTGATGTCACCTTCTGCTCTTTGTGTTCCTAAGTAGCATGAAACCAGTTCTGGGCTTGGTAGGGAAATATGACTCTGGCAAGTACACCCTGTCTTTTGACAAGAAGCCCAGCTGCTTTTTCCTGAGTAAATCCTACAGAAGAGTCTCAGTTCCAAGAATGTGGGTTTATTCATCTATTTTATATTGGAATCTCACTTATCAGTCATTTGGGCTAATGGCCATTTATTAATTTGTCTTTTGTTCTGAATCAGATTATATCGTCCACTTAATCTTCTCACATTTCCACTCCAAAAAGCTTAACAGAAAGCTGTATAAATTGTGATAAATTTCTGCCCCAAAAATAGAGAAAGCCAATCTGTAGTTGAATGCCTGGGTCAAACAATGAGCCACTGCAATGTGTTTATGAAATAAATTATACCAATAATGCATCTTTTATGAAGCGTATCTTAATTCTTGACAATTATTTTCCCAATGGGTTTCTTAAAGTTGTAGCATGTACAATCTTGTACTGTGGAAATGGAAATGAAATGTTGCTGCTTAGGAAGGCATTAATTTGTAATCACAGGTAGTCTTGTTAGAAAAGAAAATAACATGATTAAAAGCGGTTTAGGGAGCAAGGAAGTGAAGAGGCTAATGATCTCACACAGTTTTCTAGTAATGGTGACACAGCACCACTACTTTGAAATGTGGGACTATATTAATGAATTAGATCTTTCACTAAAAAAAAATGCTGTTTTTGCAAATGACACAAGGAGTGTGAAATGATATTTCAAGCATGGTTTGCAATTGACTTCCCTTTTCTTAATTTTTAATAGATGCACATGGATACTCAGGAAGCAACAGAAAGCAATGCAAGAGAGACAAGTATCATGAACTTGCATCTGCTTCATTTCTGGAGCAATCATCTAAGAAAGAATTAATAATAGATGGTAGGATTTCTTTGAAAGACAAACATCTACCCAAAGGCACATCAGACTCCAAAGACAGGAAAGCCCAAAACTTTCCAAATCCAAAAGTATCTATTTCTGATCATGCACGCCATACCAAGGTTTTATCAAAATCAGTACTGGATGAAAATGATAATAATGCGAAAGATCCTTACCCCAAAGGTAAGCCATAGCTTCAGCTATAAGGAATACAATTTTACATTATAATTAAATGGTACAGCATTGTATTAGGAGGATTGTCTGCAAATGTCTGCTTTGAAATGTTGTTTGGAATGCAATGGATTCCAAGTGCATTTACTGTATGTAAACTCAGTAGGTTGTCCATGACCTATAGCAGGGGTCCCCAAACTCTTCAGCTCGTCAACCCCTTCATGAGGTTTCTGTCAGGCTCAGCCCAACAACAGTGAAACAGTCCAGTCAAGTACAGATCCTTAATTTGCTTACACCTTATAGACAGAATCTTGCCAAACTAAATCTATACTATAGCAACTAGTGGATATACCCTGGGAAATTCTAGGGAGTGGCTATCTTGAAACTTTTTCGCTTCCCACACTCACCTTGAGGACTGCATTGTCCCTTATCTCCTTTCCCCTTCTGGAATGTGCCCCCTCCTTCCTGATAGCCTTGATCTCCCATATCACTTTCCTCTTCGTAGATACATTCCATCAGTTTCAGATTGTTCATCGACCCCCAAACATTTATTGTATGAAAATAATTTAATAAATACTACTTTAACTAATAGTACTACATATCATAATCACAATCATAATCATAATCATAATGACAACTCAAGGCATCTCTCACTGGCAGCTGACCATCCAACCCTAGGTAACACTGTCTCACCACTAGCCATTTCACCTTCAGGACTGGGGAGCTCTAAAGTCAAGTCAAGTACAGCTCTAAAGAGACACCAAAAGATTAATTGAGCCCAATCAACCTTCCATCATTTATTGACCACCTACTGACCAGCCACTTATTGACCTTCTTTTGACCCCCAGCCATTTATCGACCTTGAGGGTCAATACTGAACACTTAGGGGAATGCTGTCTAAGTCTATCTCAGAATAAATAACCACAAAGTGAAACACATAATCCTTTTCAATGTTTTCTAATTTATTGAATCTAAAACTTACAGACATTCCAGTGAAGGTTTTACATGCAAAACATTTAAGATTTACTCCCTTTATATTAGGAGAAGAAATTATGTTTACAGTGCTTTCTTAACAGCTGAAAATATCCCCTTTAGTCAAATCATTTGTTGGAGATAATAGAGTCAGAAGCATTCAGAATCATTCTAGATACATTATCTTAAATTCTGTTACTAAAGACAGCTCTATATAATTTTATGTATTTATCAAACAACAGCTAAAGGGTATACTGTACAAGACATTTCTCCTTTACCGTAGTGTTAGAAACAGATCTTTGGGAGCCTATATGCAAAGAAGTTTCTCCAATATGTGAACTGCACTCATCAGGAACATTTATATTGTCCATGAAGTTTTTTAGCTGAAGAAAACATTCAGTTTTTGCAAAACTGTTTTCAACTGCAAGTTGTTTCAAAACTCTGTTCAGTAGACCTACTGTATGTTCAGAAATAATGGCTGCAAGAAAGAATTTGGTACTGTTGCAAAACAGGTGCAGAAAACATAGTTTGCTTATTTGTTGGTCTGAAAAAGTACCAAGTTTCTAGCATGCACAAAATAATTTCTTTGCTGAAACTGAATCTTTGAATCAGTGTGCTAGACTTATAGTCAGTGTGGTAAGAAAGGGCCATCAGTGATGCTTAATTTGTTATTCTAATTAACCCTGCATTTTCAGTGAGAGGCTCATACAATATTTTGTAAATGGTTGTTTGAATTTCAGGCACAACTCCCTCTCTGAATTAATAAATTAAGCAAGAAAATTTTGATCATAAAAGAACAGTTAAACAGGATAATAAATAATGAACATAATTTAAAAAATCTGACTAGATTAATTTATAATTAATTGGTATCATGTTTTAACATTTAGTTATTAGTTTCTCATCTATTAGTAATAGCACTTTAGGGGGTATAATTGCCAGAGAAAGAATAATCCAGAATATAAGCATATTCTATTCATCATTAGTGAAGCAACTCAAGTTGGAACAAAACAAACTGTATTTGATATGAGGAGTAGAAATGTGAAAGAAGTATACCATGAATTCTGTTGGGTGCAACTTTGGGTAGACTCCATCCACTGGACTTTGTAGTAGATAAACATTGGTATCAAATGCAGCTTGCTAGCATACAGCCGAAAATTTTGCATCTAAAAAAATATGCTGCTGAAAGTTGCATGCAAAATGGCAATTACTTTTAAAAGGAGCTTCCGTCAGAGGAATTTCCATTTTAAAAGCTGGATGGAATGTTGTATGTCAAAGGACTCAAGTAAAATTATTTGCATTAAAAAAACGTTGTTGAGCAATTTTCATTAATTGTATCATTATGACAATTTACAGTTTAAAACAAGTACAGAAGAACTGCCATTCTACGATATTGCCTAACTAATGTGAGATTGATAGTAAAATAAATATTATTTTAACAGTGCTCATGTTTCTCATTAGAAATGACTAAAAGTAGCTGCTAAAAGTATGAACTGCAAGCTGAACTTTCTGATTCAGATCTTTTCCTCCAAGAAACTTACTAGGGGAGCCTAGGCCAGCATTATTCCCTCTTCTTTGGTTGGTTGGTTAAAGTATTTCAACCACGGGGGGTCACAGAGTATAAGAACACAAGAACTTAAAAATGACCCTGCTGGATTAACTCCCATCATCCTAGTCCAGCATTTTGTTTCTGACGAAGGCCAGCCAGATGCCTCTGCAGTGGGCCCAACTAGGAGATGGAACCATACTCCTCTGATGTTATTATCTTCCAGCAACTGATTCCTGAATTTTGCAGGTTACTTATTTGCTACATGAAGAAGTGCTTTCTTTGCCTGCCCTGAATCTCCTTCCAGACAGGTTCACTGAATGACCACTGGTCCTAGTGTTTTGAAGAACAGAATGCATGATTTTATATTCCTTGATCGTGTATCTCACTCCCACTCTGTCATCTTTCTTTCAGACTAAAGAGTTGCATAGGGAGAAGACATTTAATTCGTCTTTTTTAAAATCTGGAGACCAGAACTGTATGCAGTAATCCATATGTGAACATACCATAAGGACATTACAGTGTTGGCATTTTTATTTTCAGTTGCTTTCCTAATGATCCATAGTATGCGGTTTGCCTTTTTCACAGCTGCTGCATATAGAATTGACATCTCCTGGGTGCTATTCACCATAACACACCAATATTTTTTTCTGGTTTGTTACAGACATCTCAGAAGTTAGAGGCTTTTTGCCCTAATGTGTTTCACTTTAGACCTACTTGAACAGAATTGCATCTGCCATTTGGATGACCATTCACCCAATTTAAAGAGGTCTTTCTGCAGCTATTCTGGAGTGGCTTAGAGATCAATAAAGTAACATGATAGCATCTGCCTTTAGACTTGCCATTTAAAAGTCATAACATATATAGCATGCAAAAAAAGGGGGGGGGAGTGGGGAGGAAGAATACAATAGAAAGACAAATGAAGATTACACTTCTTATAATGACTAGATGGAAACAACTCAATAGGCCTGAGTGAGAGCCTCTGAGAAGAAACTAGTGGACTCTGGCCTCAGCAAACGGATGGAAAACTGCTGCTTCCATGCTGTCTCCTTCCGGCACTCAGAAATAACCTGAAAGGATTTTGAAATATATAATATATAGATTCTATCATTTCATTTTCCTCCTGGAATATAATTAGTTAAATACAATAGCCCTGGTATACACCCAGATTTAGTGGATCTCCAGCTGAAGGAAAACTTGCGTAATACTTGTGCTTATTTATGAAACTTTGTATGATAGGACTTCCAGGGTTAAACAAGCACAAAACTCTACATCCTCTGCTCAGCAATTTCATGTATATATTTCTTTTAGAGATGCCTCCCAGGTTTGAAAATATCTAGAAGAACCCAAAAACAAATTGGCTACCACCCCTTAATAAACAATTCTCTCTGTCTTTCTAAGGTGATTACAAATTGTGTGGTTCAGCTAGCCAGTCCAAGGAACATAAGATAAATGTGAAGAAAGAGATGGTCAACAGGCAAACAACCTCTGCAGCCCATGAACCAGATGTTCCTCATGAGAAATACGAAGCCTTCCAACATTCAGAGGTCTGCCTTGAGCCTGAGAAAATTCCTGCAAGCCCACTCACTCTCAGGGTAAAATATTCACATTCCCTGCTAACTCTTAATCTTGGTATGGTTATTTCCTTGGAAACCCACTAGAGGCAAAAAAAATTTTTTTTTAAAAAGCAGCAAAACAGTAAAGTTTTATGAATGTACTCTTATTGCTGAGAAGCATTTTGCTTACATGATACATTGAGAACTTGGAAGTGACTTGTCCACATCTTCTAGTATCCTGCTTTACTAGATCCTATTTTTTGTCTATGTACTTTTTTCTTACCAGCTTCCTCTCATCTATTTACAAGTCCTGTTGATCTGGTAGTTCCCCTTAACTCTTGATTAGTCTGCAGAAGATTAAATGAATTCATATCCTAGAAATTCTACACAATTAGCTCTAAGAAAATATATCTCTTCCCCAAATTCAGAATACTGAATATTTTTCAGAGCGCTGATATAAAGTGGACAGAAGCATGCGTGGTTGGAGCCAGGATTTCCCTCCCCTCTCTGAGTTTGTGGAGTGTGGCCTTTGGCTTTTGAATTATGTTAAGCATATTTTAGAACTTACATTAAAATTCCTGTGTGTTTTCCTCCTCAAAATAGCAGAAAACCAACTCATTTTCAGTAGTTGAGGTTGAAGCAGGCTCAGGGGACTACTGTATATGTGGTCCTGGGAATCTGAGCTGTTCATCCTGGTTTAAATGGCACATGCAAAATATAGTCCATTCAAGAGTTACACTTGCATAAGATATACAAGACTGAGTAAAGAGAATGGGGCCTTGTATGCCCACCTGCTCCTCATTTCTTCATACATACTGGGCTCTCGCCCAATCAGCCATTTTTGAACAAGATGTTCTGCAATGAGCTTTTACTTGCATTTACTTCAGCAAGAACATACTGGTTATGCACAGGCTTCTATTCACATTCCCAATGCACGTAATAATTAGAACACAGGAAAGTTGAAGATATTTCACATCCCCTTCCATCTTATATTAGTGTACCTATTAGGACAAAATGAACAAACGTGATTAATGAATACTTGCATAGCACTGGTCATCTGCTGTGACACATGCGGTAAATGCTAGTCCCCATTTGTTCTATGAAGCTATGCATTCTGCACTGCCAAAAGGTGCCCTGTTAGAGCCACTACATCTGAGAGCTTCAGATCTCTGATCTGTAAGAAAACTTCCTGATCCTTTCCAGGGACAATAGAAAAATCTCATTAAGGATGACTGAATGATGTCCTCTCTATTCCTCCCTGTTTTAGGAGGCGCTGGAAGTTCACAAGCCTCATTTTATTTCCCGCTCACAAGAACGAATAAAGAAACTTGAACACATGGTGCAATTAAGGAAAGCACAGCAGAATGATGTTTCGGGAAAGAAGCAAGGAACTGCTCTTTCTTGCAAACTTTCCTCAACTTCCATTACAAATAAGAAGAAACAATATACAGTTCCTCATCCACTGAGTGGTAAGTTGAGCTGTGTAACCCCCATCAAGCATGCACACTATTCTTTGCCATCTTTTTGAAACTGGACATCGTTGCTTTCACTATTGGTGATATGGCTAAATGCCATGTTCATGTTTATTTATTTACTCCTCTTATATGCTGGCAAATCTAAATGATGGCAGTTTTCAATGTAATAGGTATAACACATAAAATCCCAATTCAAAACAAAAATAAAATCCCAGTTTTAAAAAAAAACCAAAATCAATAAGCCTTGTATTAATGAATATACTGTATAATCCCTTAACTCTTTGCAACAAATTGATTTTACTCTCCTTTTTCCGCCCATAGTTCCCAGAAGGGGGAATTATTTTGCCTCCCATTATATTTCAAGTATAGGTAGTGGGGTGCCTTTAGGTACCAGTGTGCCCATGGATATTTCCCTCTGTACTTGCCAGGTTCCCTCCCCTCCCATCTTAATTAGATTTTTCTGATTAAAAAAAGGAGGAAGTCAAAGTACTTCAAAGCAGAGCACGAGTCCCTAGCATTATCTTTACTGATAAGAATGTTGCTGGGACACACACATATACTGTAGGCCCCATAAACATTTGTTGAAATGGAAATGATTAATGTCTGCAGTCCAGTTCTTTGTTTAGAAATAGGCCCACCTTCCCAGGAAAAACAGACAAAGGTAAGCTGGGCAATCAAGCCTATAGTGGGAGTGAGGAGATACTAGAGAGACTGACAAGGAGCCACCTCACCAGGTGTGATGTTATGTGGTAATGACCTTGGGAGACAGGAGGAAGATCTGCATCCTAGGCAACAGTCTAATAAGAGGCACTCAGTCCGCAGGTGGGGGAAAAGCATGGGAAGTGTTTCAGAAAGGACCCTCCCTAGTTTTCTGGATACTAAAAAGAGAGGAGGGGAGAAATACTTTCAGTCTTGCAAGATTGATGTTAGCCCTTCAAGGTAGTCCAGACAAGAAGCACAACCAGGAGCATCAACACTATCTTTATTGTAAGGTTACATTAAACAGAAAAGACTGGAAGTATTTCTCCCCTCCTCTTTTTTTAGTCTCCAGAAAACTAGGGAGGGTCCCTTCTGAAACACTTCCCATGCTTTTCCCCTACCCAGGGACTGAGCTGCCTCTTATCAGACCGTTGCCTAGGCTGCAGATCTTCCTCCTGTCTCCCAAGGTCATTCCCACATACCATCACATCAGGAAAATCTCTTTCAAGTCAATTTGTGTTTTTTTGATTGGCCTCATTTCCCAGGGCAACCATTTTGTAAGAGTGTCCACAACATTCTTCCAAAATTCCAGATACGTTTATGGCCTATAAAAATTGTTTGTCCCTAGCATACTTGGACAAATTAACTATTCCTATCATATCTAGCTCTCATGTGTTGACATTTTAATGACTGTTACCTAGAAGATGTCTTATAATTTGTACATTCATTAAAGTGTCAGGAAGATTTTTTAAAAAATACATATTTTAAGGCAAAGTAGGAGAACAGCCTTTGTGCTATTGCAGTTCTACCTACAAAACAAAACAAATTTAAAAACTTATCTAGATCTAGATTTCATTTCTTGACAGCTCAACAATAGGCGTAGATAGGATATAATCCTAAGGGGTTTGTTACTCAATTTTTCTCACAATAATCTGAAAAGCATTCTTCTACTTTCCACTGGAATCTGGGCAACAACCCACTGATGTGACTTCTAGTTGTAAGCTCCTGAAATCCTGTTATTGCTGGGTAAAATAAGGCAAAAGACATGGATGAAATGATGGCAAAGATGCTTGAATATTGAGTATTTGTTTCTTACATTTAGAAGCCCTGATATTTCTGGTTTCATATGGTGAGCCTTGAGCAGTTATAGATTAATTGATTGTTGTTGTTTTAAATTTTAACTGTTGTTTTTGAGAATAACTTTTTAAATGGATTGGTTGTTCAATGGAGAATGAATCATGTGCTGGCTGAAGGTAATGGAAGTTGAAGCCATATCAGGTTAGGCTACTGATAGATTACCTAGAAATCACTTTATAAGGGCATCTTGTCTCTATTTAACAGCTCAACCAGTATGTTTCTGCCTTAGATGCTGTTCAAGTTGAAATACTGAAGACTGTTTTCAGCTGGGAATGCTGCAGCTTTTGTAGTGTTTATGGGCAAGCTGCTTCCCCTTAGGAGGGAACTCTTATCCCATCGCTCCTTTTTGTTTCTGAGATTCTGCTTCCCTGATAGGTCCTGTAAGGTAAATGCTGACTTGTCAGTATTACATTTTCCCCTCAGCAGTCTTGGCAGATCCAGCCTAGGAGAAATTGACAGTTTCTTCTTTCTGTATTGCAGGAGACCAGCTTTATGTAAATCAAGACTTTTTCTGTTATTACTGTTGTTGTTGTTGTTGTTGTTATTTTCTTCTGTTTTGTATCCAGTGGAGCTGAGGGGATTTTTAGATTGCAGAATGCAGGTCATTTTCATGCTGCTTTTGAGGAATGTGGCTCTCAGTTAGTTTAATACAACTGATGAGTGGCCTGCTGTGTTAGTCCTGGCTGAGGCCAAGGTGTGGGTGTTCTTGTTTGAAGCTAATTCAAGTGACAATATCTATCTGAACTTGAATTATTTGGGTTGACTGCATGTGTATGGGCTTAAACAAATAACATTTCCACTGAAGCTGCAAGCACAGAATTTGTATATGGGCACATAGATGACCAGGAAAAGATTGCAGTGCCATAGAGAGGATGCAGCTGCTTTAATGCTTCAAGGGAGGATTCTTTGCTCATGCTGAGGTCCTTTGTAAGGACCCCTTTCAAATGCTTTGCGTAGCTTGATTGCTCATCATCCTGTAACAATGAAATCTGGGATCAGACCACAGACTATGATCTTGTCTTTAGATTGATTCCTTTACAGGTAGTCCTTGTTTAGTGACCGCCTCATTTAGCAACTGTTTGCAGTTACAACGGTGATGAAAAAGTAATTTTGCAACCAATCGTCGCATGTATGACCTTCATAGGTTTGTAAAGCAAAGGAAAGCTGAGGTAAGATCATAAGCACAGCTGTGGTTTCACTTAGTAACTGCTTCACTTAACAATCAAGTTGCCAGCCCCAATCACTAAATCACTAAACGGGGACTACCTGTATTCTACATTTATATGAACTGATTAAATAAATTCTGCCTCAGTTTTTCGGATGAATTTGTATTTGCACCCCTGCCTGATTTTGGTCCTAACCTTTATTTATAAAATAATTTTATTAAATTTTTGGAAAGTACAAATATGTACAAAAATACATATGAAAGGCTTAGTTTTAAAATAGAACTCCTATTTTACTTGCCATTTTCAAAAGTTCAGAAAACTGAAAGTTCTTCTCAACCAACACGATAAAAAACTGTATTTGTAAATAATGACCCTGGCCTAATCTTGTTGGATCCAAGTACCTTGTGTGATTGGCTGCATATTGCTCAATATTGATTTAAATAAAATATACCAGTTCATTTCATCAGGACTGGAATATTTTGTTTTGTAACAGTAAAGAAACTTGTTGCAGGTCTGGTGGAGAGGCCTAGGAAGGAGTCCTGCCCTGTTATCTGGGAACAGTTTGAAACTGTTGGATCTGTGGAAGTGGACAGAGTCCTTAGAGCTGTGGGCTCAGTCACCTGCTCTTTAGATCCATGCCCCTCCCAGCTGGTTAAAACGGCCCGGGGGTTGTTGTGTGAGTGGGTTCTAGCAATGGTTAATTCTTTCTTGAGGCGATGTTCCTTCATCTCTTAAGGAAGTTTTGGTTCACCCCCTCCTCAAGAAGCCATTGCTGGACCCCACTACACTGGACACTTTTCATCCAGTATCTAATCTTCCCTTTTGGGGAAGGTGATTGAGAAGAAGGTGGCACAGCAGTTTCAGAGGACCTTGGAAGAAGCTGATTATCTGGATCCCTTTCAGTCAGGATTGAGGCCCAGATATGGGATGGAAACAGCATTGGTCACGTTTTTGGATGTTCTTGGTGAGGGCGGGATGGGAGTTGTGCATCCATCCTTGCTCTACTTGACCTCTCGGCAGCTTTCGATACCATCGACCATGGTATACTTCTGGATCAGCTTAGAGGATTGGAGGAGGGCAGCAGGATCCTGTGCTGGTTTGCCTCCTTTCTTAGGGTCTGATTTCAGTTGGTAGTGGTTGAGGAAGAGAGCTCCCACCCTCAGCCCCTACTATGTGGGGTGCCGCAGGGTTTGGTCCTCTCCCCTCTCCTATTTAACATCTACATGAGACTGCTGGGTAAGCTCATCTGTTGCCATGGGGTGAAATATCAGTACACTGATGATACCCAATTATACATCTCTCCCCCTGGCGAATTAAGCAATGCTGTGAATGTCTTATCCCAATGCCTGGTGGCTGGGAGAATCTAGATGAAGAACAACAGGCTTCAGCTGAACCCTGTCAAGTCTGAGTTGCTCTGGCTTTTGGGGCCTTCTGGCTCTAGGACTATGCCATTTCTGGTGCTGGATGAAGTGGCACTGCCCCAGACAGACCCTGTACACAATCTGGGGGTCCTCCTGGACTCACGACTCCTGCTCAAAGAGCAGGTGGCAGTCATGGCTAGGAGGGTCTTTGCTCAGCTTCGTGTTGTGCACCAGCTGTGCCCATTCCTGGATTCGGGGGTTCTGCTCACTGTCACTTATACCCTAGTCACCTCCCAATTGGATTTCTGTAATGCGCTCTACATGGGTCTGCCCTTGAAGAGTATCCAGAAGCTTCAGCTGGTGCAAAATGCAGCGGTGTGGTCAGTTATGTGCGCCCCTAGAATGATACACGTTACACCTCTGCTCCGGAAGCTGCACTGGTTGCCAGTTTGCTTCCAGGTCCAATTCACGGTGCTGGTTTTAACCTTTAAAGCCCTTCAAGGCATGGGGCCAGGTTATCTGGGGGACCACCTCTCCCTGATTATATGTGCCCATCCCACCAGATCTGGCAGAGAAGGCATGCTGCGGGTCCCACCTGTCAGGGTACTACACTTGGCGGGTCCCAGGAGGC